ACTCGTCTGGTGGAGATTTGTAGAATCCAATGCTAGCCTTATCTTTAAGTGAGCAAATTAGCTGTGCAGAGCTATCAGTGGGCACCTAAACACAGCTGTCCTGTGAGGGTAATTCTGAAACAGGCTTTGCTTTTGATTACCCTGAATTAGAAAATAGAAAATGGTAGTGATCAATGCAATTTTATACGGCGTGCTTGTGAGAATGGTTATTCCTTGCTTTATTGAAGTTGAAATACAGAAACAGATTAAATATACATACAAACCTGAGTCCGTATCTTTCCTCTATTAAGCCAAACATCAGCTATTTTGTTTCAGCAAAATAGCATCATCTGTCATGTTAAATTAATGTTGGGAATGTAAATTTGATTGGTTTTGTAGTTGTGTTTGAATATAATTAGAAAATTTATTCTGGATTTATATTTATATCAAAGTTGTCATTATAAAGAGTTTATAACTAGTTTTGTGTTCATATATTGAAATTAAGTTACAATGAATTTAAAAAATTATATTGTGGTTCCACCAGAACATGCATATAACTGTGTGTTTTCCTTTAGAAGGGAAACTCTTTAAGCCTAAGGAAAAACCTCTTTGGGTGATTGGGAGCTATTGAAAGGTTTTGATCAGTGATCTTATGAAAATAGTTTCAGGATGAATAAGTGGAAGATGAACTTAAGTAAAAAGTACTAGATCCTAGAATAGCATAGACATACAATACTGTTTGCTGAATAGAAGGATGAAATAAAAATAAACCAAGTTGGCATTCTCTGATAGCAAACAATGAAGTAAATTATAAACTATATACTGTGTGTATGTATGTGTGTGTCTAACTCAGGATACTGGAATCAGAAAGCAGTTAAGAACTTGATGACCCTGTGTGTGGGACATGGGTTATTTCTAAGAACTTGATGATCCTGTGTGTGGGACATGGGTTATTTCTAAGAACTTGATGACCCTGTGTGTGGGACATGGGTTATTTCTAAGAACTTGATGACCCTGGTGTGGGACTTGGGTTATTTCTAAGAACTTGATGACCCTGTGTGGGACATGGGTTATTTCTAGACTCTGGGACAAGTGTTCATGTGCAAGTGATTTCATAGGGACGGGCTCCCAGGAGAAACCAGTACAAGGAGGTCAACAGGGAGAAGAAGCCAAAACTTTAGCTCAGATACCTTCTTCTTGCAGAGGCTTTTGTTGGGGGCCATCCCTTCTGGGCATGGTTAGGCTAGAACTTGCTGCTCCCTGTGGCTGAGTGGAGTGCATGTCAAGTGCCAGCTAGTGGCACGAGAGCACGAGTGACAGGTGTTGGTTTCCGGTTGCAGCACTTAGTGGCTGGTGTGGGACCTTCCAGAGCTTTTGTTTCTCTGCCTGGGGAAAAACTGTGAGGCCTGAGTTCATAGCTTCTGTACCAGCCCAAGTTCCTGCATCAGTTGGAGTTTGGTTGGGGAAGTAGAATCCTGTGAATCATGTAGAGTAAAGCATTTTCTATAGAGATTTGAATTTACATGGTTGGGGGCATTGGTCAAGATGCCCACGTAAGGTAGGTGCCTCTGCAAATGGGTCTGGGCCTGCAACCTGCATCTATCTGTCTCTCACCTCCAGCCTTGCTGCTGCACCTGAGCTGCAGGAGGGCTGGTGCCTTTGCCCTGGAGTTGCTTATGAACCTGGCTCAGGACTCTGAGGCTCAGACTCAGACGCCCAGTGGGCTTTTCACCTCTGCCTTCCAGATCACATCCAAAGTCTCTCGTGGCAAACCATGATCTTCAATTATACAAGAGAGGAACCCTGGGAAATGTAGTTCAGGGTAAATTGATTTGCAGAATATGAAGCTACCACAGTTTTGGGCGAATCCAAGGAGTATAATTTCCCTACCGCCCTGTGTTGGACATGTGGTGTAAAAGAGAAACCAACGTTTGCTGTTTTAAGCCTCTCATATTGGGGACTATTTGTTAGCACAGGACAACCTGGCCAGTCTGTCACACCTTCCCCACCCATGATGTTAAGGAGCACAGCCTTCTCGCCCCTGAGCGTCTACTGTGCCAACCAGTTTCTTTCACAACATTGATTACCATTCAAAATTATTTCACATAGTTTCTTGCTTTTTACAAGTTTCTGCTTTCCCTGTCAGCTCCGTGAAGGCAGGGGCTTATGTATCTTATTTATGGTTGCACTCTCATTCCACGAATAGTGCCTGGCCTTACATGGGGGCTCAATCAATATTTGTGGGATGGGACAGTTGTGGCACAGCAGGCTAAGCTACCACTTGGAACACCTGCAACCCTGTTGGAGTGCCTGGGATTGAGTCCTGCTTGTGCTTCTGATCCAACTTCCTGCTAATGAGCCTGGGAGGCAGAAGATGATTGCCCAAGTACTTGAGTTCCTGCTATCCATGTAGGAGACCCAGATGGAGTTCCCAGCTCCTGGCTTCACCTTGGCCTGGCATTGGCTGTTGGAGGAATTTGAGGAGTGAACCAGCAGATGGAAAATCTGTCTCTCATTCTAACACTCTGCCTTTCAAGTAGATAGGAAGATAGATAAAACCTTAAAAGTTGATAAAAGATTAAAATGTTTAAAACTATGTATGGGGTTAAAGAATGAATTTATAGTGCTCATCCTGGTATATGTTAAGGTGTCCTATTTCTCTGCCTCTCATCCGTTCTAATAGAATAGAACTCCTTGGAGTCTGGGCCATGTGTGGGTCTCAGTGCCTGTCATAGTTCCTGCCATATCAGAGCTACTCATCTTGGTTGAAATTAACTTGAGGGAATACATAATGGCTGGGGATGTAGACTCATGAATTATGCAAATGGAGGTGACAAAGCCATAGTGTGGGTGTGACTTTCAAGTTGCAGATGTGGTGTGGGACTCAGGAGATGTTTTAAAGAATTGCTTTAGTTCCAGTTTAGACACCTGCTACATTTGAGTGGTTGTTGACTCCCCCCTCCTCCAGTCTCCTCCCCCAGGAACAAGTGTTATCAAACTGATTATAGAAAGCTAAAAATTTCAGAGCTTACCATTCCACACTCATGGTCTCATTACATAAATGTTTACTTTCGTGGTACACCTATAGGAATTAATTATAAAATAGTATTAGGTAATCCACATCATACTAAATTCAGCCATGATTAAACAATAGTTTTTAGGTACAAAGAGCAAGTACTTGTATGATATTACTCACCATATACTTTACTTATTTTTTGTGTGGACTCCTGTTATAGCCTTTCCTGTTTCAGCTCATTCTAAAATGATAAATATTTTATGGGCTAGTATTTAAATAGCCCACGAATGCCTCTTTAGTTGCTATTTGCAATAAGCTTTAGACAGTATCTATCTGGTGTGATTCTTCTCTGCTTTTCAAAGCAGTTTTCCTCTGTTGAACACTTTTGTGTCTTCCATCAAAGTCTTCTAAAGATGCCTATGTGTGTGTTGTTTTCTAGAGCAACCCTGCTTCCTTACCTCTCTCTTCAGAAGCATTCATACCCCACTAGGGAATAGTTGTAATATTTGCAAACCAATATGCACTCACTGTCCACCCTTTTATTGTCACAATATTTGGAATGTTCACCGGGAAACCAATTCCAGACCACAAGCTTTGGGTGGACGTGCCACCCGACTTACTCTCTCAGTGCACGGTGTTTCTCTGCTCCCCACTGGGCACTTGGCCCTGGTCTGAGCTAATGAGTTATAGTATCATGAGAACTTCTGTTTTCCCATCAGACATGCACTCGTGAAAACATGAGCTCCTGGAGTCACCTTGTAGATGTGAGGGGAGACCCTGCCTGGGAGAGGAGCCTTATGACTGAAGGCAGAGCCCACAGGCACAAAAAAGCAGCTGGCACCATCATTTATATCTTGCTTGAAGTTATTCCTGCTTTTGGAATTTGCAGGAATAAAACCAATAAATTCCCATCATATCAAAGCTGCTTTGGCTTGAGTTTCTGTAACTAGCAGCCAAAGACGTCCTAAGGCATACATTGCTCAAGGAGTTGGTTTTTACAACAGGTAGGGAACAATCAGATCTCCACACTCCTGAAAATGGATGGCCTAGAAAGGAAGGCTGGGAGTCAAGGCTCAGAGCTGAAAGAAGTAACAGAGATGGGACTGAAACCAAAGAAAGCATTAGGGTCAACAGGAACTATGATTGGTTGCATACTGCATGACCCCAAGGGGGTTTCACAACACGGGTGCCTGGGTCTCACCCAGGGCTGCTGATTTGGTTGGTGTGGAGTTCAGCCTGGCATTAGGAGTTTTCAAAGTGACTTCCACGTGCGGTGAAGTTTAAGATGCTGTGCTCTAGGGGATACTTGAGTTTGACGGAAAGCAAAAATAAGCCAGAGGAAAGGGAACAGCTGAAGCTACTGCGGAAGGCTTAGGGTGAATTAGTTATGTAACTCTCAAAAGCAGTGCTTGAAAAATACTGAAGCACTGGAAAATTTAGCACCAGATTGGTCACTGGTAGAAAAAATAATGAGTATGCATTGTGTTTTCTCAGAGTTACATCTGTGAAATTTAATCTTTTAAAATTCTATCATTGGATCCAGTCCTAGACAGAGCTCAGATTCACTTCAGATGATGTGATCATTCCAAACATTTTGCATATTTTTCTCCTTTGAGTGATAGATTTCAATAATAAAATGAGCAAATAATGATCATTAGATTGAAGATTTGGTAATAACCCTAAAATCCTCCATGTTTTATTTTTAAATTCAGTGATAGCTTTATTTTGAAAAATATTGTTTTTGAAAGTTCTAAATCAAATTACTCTCTGAACATGATTTATTTTAAGTTGGTTTAAACACATGTGATTAATTTTTTGGTATACACTATAGGAGCTTTCAGTTCCTAAAAGCTCTTTTTTTTCTTCAAAAAAAAGGTTTATTTATTTGAAAGAGTTAGAGAGGGGGGAAGGAGAAGGAAGGGAGGGGAGGGGAGGAGGAGGAGGAGGAGGAGGAGAGAGAGAGAGAGAGAGAGAGAGAGAGAGAGAGAATATGAATGAATGAATCTTCTATCCACTGGTTCACTCTTCAGCTGGCTGGAGCTGGGCCAGGCTGAAGTCAGGAGCCAGGAGCTCCATCTGGATCTCCCACATGGATACTGGGCCCAAACACTCGGGCCATTTTCCCACTGCTTTCTCAGGTATGTTAGCGGGTGGCTGGGACTTGAACCAGAGCCCATATGAGATGCCAGAGTTGCAGGCAATGGCTTAACCCACTACACCACAGCACCTTAGTTCCTCCTAAACCCTAAGGAGACAAAGATTCTTTAGAATTAAAGATACAATTATATATATATATATATATTATAACAGGCAGAGTGGACAGTGAGAGAGAGAGACTGAGAGGAAAGGTCTTCCTTTGCCGTTGGTTCACGCTACAATGGCCGCCGCGGCCGGCGCGCTGCGGCCGGTGCATCGCACTGATCCGAAGCCAGGAGCCAGGTGCTTCTCCTGGTCTCCCATGGGGTGCAGGACCCAAGCACTTGGGCCATCCTCCACTGCACTTCCCGGCCACAGCAGAGAGCTGGCCTGGAAGAGGGGCAACCGGGACAGAATACGGCGCCCTGACCGGGACTATAACCCAGGGTGCCGGCGCTGCAAGGCGGAGGATTAGCCTAGTGAGCCACGGCGCTGGCCTGACACAATTATATTTTAAATAATAGGTTGCAAGGATGGACATTAGTCCCACATTGGAGTGTCTGAGTTCCATATCTGTCCCCACTCCTGACTCCAGCTCTGCCGATGTAGACCCTGGGAAGCAATGGTCAAGGCTCAGCTGGAGGGGTCCCTGATGCCTGGAAAACCTAGATTGTGTTCCAGGCCATTGTGGGTACTTGGGTAAACCAGCAATGCCACACTCTTTTTCTCGCAATTAAAAATTACCTATAAGGTAATAAGAATGTATTTTCTGTAAAAAATGTACAAAATTTAGATCATCAAAAGAAAAGTCAGCTGCCTAATCTTTATCTCCTAAAAGCAAGTAACACTATTTTAACTCGCCTTTTCTATTTAATAAGAAATTGAGATTATCATTATATTAATATTTCTAGATTATTTCCTATTCCTGTAATGATTTGTTGCTTCAAATCTTTTGTACATGGAAGAAAGTCTGGAATTGATAAAAAAAAAAACAGGGAAAAAATAAAGCACTATGATTTCATGATACAAACATTCCTATTTAAATTGGAGGTGAAAAATGTTTTTCCTTCTCAGCTTTGCATAAAATAGTGACAGCCTGCACCTTGTTTAACTCGCTGCATCTATAACTTAACAATATACTGTGAGCATTTTTCAGGTTAAAATATTCTTTTATATCAAATTTTTAAATTGAATGTGTATTATAGATGGGCTATACTTTTATTTACCCAACTTCTACCCATAGACATTTGACATTCTCCAATATTTTGCCATTTTGTGATACTGTAAATAAATATATTTGTAGCCAAGTCATTGTACTCACACAGTACTGTTTCCCTGTATGCATTCTTTTTTTAAAAGATTTATTTTATTTATTTGAAAGTCAGAGTTACACAGAGAGGAGAGGCAGAGACAGATAGTCTTCCATCCGCTGGTTCACCCCCGAAATGGCCACAATGCTTAGAGGTGCACCGATCCAAAGCCAGGAGCCAGGAGCTTCTTCCGGGTCTCCCACATGGGTGCAGGGGCCCAAGGACTTGGACTATCTTCCACTGCTTTCCCAGGGCATAGCAGAGAGCTGGATCAGAAGAGGAGTAGCTGGGACTAGAACCGGCACCCATATGGGATGCTGGTGCTACAGGCCAGGGTGTTAACCCACTGCACCACAGTGCCGGCCTCTAGAAGGGGAATTGATGAATCAGAGGATTCAAAGTAGAAATTCTTGATTTTGCAATTTTGGAGTGGGCAAAGAAGACAAGAGGTGATCTACACCAGGAATCATTGAGATGGAAATGACATTGGAGCCTCTCAAGTGAAGCGCATGTTTCTCAGGATCATCGTCTTGTTCATGCTCTAGACCACAGTGTCCTGCTAATAGACCCCCTCCCCCCACCACCTCCCTGCCCCACCATTGATGCCCAAATTCCACCGAGTTCCCAGCCTTACAAGTTGCTTTCTTTTGCCCAACTATATTATGGGTGTGTATAAACCTCTGTGTCACTTTGTTTTCTTGAGAGAGAGCTTTTTCACACTCTCTGTCTTTCAGTACTTACCTGAGGAGAAAGTCAACACCTCCTTTGTCTGCCATTGTCTTTGAACCTTACTGTTAGTAGAGCTCTTAGCTTTCTATACTTTGCTTCTGTTCCAGGCACCTCTTCAGGACAATGGGGACCATATCTTGTATCCGCTATTCCCATCAGAGACTAAGATTCTACTCTCCACCATCTTCTTCAGTGTTCATTAACCGTAGCCCATGCTAAGAAATCTATTTTTGCTTAATGATCTATTAAATATTTTCATAACATACATACACATGTACACACATGCAAAAACCACATATAGTTGAAATGAAGCTTTGTGGAATAGAATTTAACCATAACAGAACATCACATACTCTCACATTTTCTATTCTGTTCTATTAGTCATCAGAAAAGTTCTGGTCACAGTCTACCAAATCAATTTATGTACTAGTGAGTCATGATTCTGTTTGCAAAAATCTACTTAGCATAAGCTCAACGATTATTTTTGAACTGAATTGCAAAACATTGGCTTATTTTGAAGCAAATCTCAGACATTATGCAATTTTATCCAAAAATACTTCAGTATTTATTTCTAAAACAAAATTTTTATGTTTTTGCACTCAAACAATATAATTTTTGCATCTAAAATAGAGGTTAATTTATCGATATCATCAAGTATGCAGTCAGTGTCCAGTTTCCTCAATGATTCTGCAGATGGTTTTTAAAAATTGCATCTGATTAATATTTCTTTCAGATTTCTTTTAGTCTATTAGATATTCCTCTGGATTTCTTTCATCTTCTCCCCAACATTTTAGGCATTTTGTAATTTGGATTTGCTGTATTGTTATTCAAATTTGCTATAAGAGACATGAAAGCAAATGGGGTGGATGTAACCTCTGAGAAATTTTAAGCATAGATGCTAAGTAAGTTAGTGGCTTGTGAAGCGTAGGTGGTCCTCACAGGCTGTGTTAAGAATAAACAATGAGTGAGGAAGAATCTCATGGGATATATATCTCATGGGATGCAGGTAGAATTCATAAGATATGCTAAATAGACCAAGTTGGTGCAAGACTATAAAAAGGAACAAATGGAATGTTTGCTGGAACAAACAAGAATCTTATTAGGAAAGCGAAGTCATAGCAAACGATAGCGTCGTCTCTAACCTGACAGCTTTGTCCTCCTTGAATCATTTCTCAGTGGAGGCACCCAGGATGCTGCCATCCTGTCCTTGCTTGTGTTCTACACAAGAAATGCAGATAAAACCCGTGGTTGCTTGGCAGGCTACTTGGCTAGCTATGACTGTGGTCAGATACATTCACCCAAGTCTCTCTGGTAGACAAAGTATGTGTCATCAGTCCTAGGCCTCTTCTATCTATGGATCCCTGTTCAGATCTCAACTCTGGTTTTTATGACACCACCACAGAGTGGGAGAGGCCAGCACAGGTGAGAGAGGTGGGGGGAATGAAGGCTTTCTAACCCATGATCAAATGGTCTTTGCACTCACTTGCTTCCTACCTTAAGAGTGTTGACCAACCCATCTCTTTCTCCTTGCTTTTCCTCTTTTTCTTCCTCTTTCTTCTTTTAATTGTGGTAACTCTCCCTACCCCCACTTACTGTTAAATTTACCATCTTAGCCATTTTAAATGTTCATTTCAGTGGTTTAAGTATATTTACAGTGTTGTGAAACATCTTCAGAACTTTTTCATGTTTGGAAAACTGACACTCTGTACACTTTAAGCACTAATTCTGCCTTCCACTCCCCTGCCCTTGACAACCAGCACTCTGCTTTCTGTTCCTACGATTTTGACCACTTTAGATACCTCATATATGTGGACACATGCAGTAGTCGTCCTTCTGCATAACATCCTTGAGGTTCATCCACATTCCAATGTATGTATAGATTGTATTTTCTTTGTCCATTCAATTATTGATGGACGTTAGTGATTAATACTGCAATTGAACATGGATTACAAATATCTCTTTAAGGTTCTACTCTGAATTCACTGTATACTCAGAAGTGGAAGTGCTGGATCATGCAGTAAATCTATTTGTAATTTTTTGAAGAACACCCATACCATTTCCCATAATGATTCTACCCTTTTAGATTCCAACCAGTGAAGCACAAGGTTCCAGAGCAGAGAGCTGGACTGGAAGAGGAGCAACCGGGACTAGAACCGGTGCCCATATGGGATTCCAGCACCTCACGCAGAGGAGTAACCAAGTAAACTGCGGCACCGGCCCCGTGACTCATTTTTTTAAAGGCGCTAGTGGTGGACCCTCTCAGTTGCTGATTTACTTTTCTCCCCACTCCTTCCTGTTTAACAGAATGCTGATTTCTTCAGATAGCCACAACTTTCACATTCAGTCAGTTGCCTCAAGGGATACTCACCTCATCCCTGTACTTCAGTGCCTCTGACTGATGTAAGATATTTTCATTCCCCTCCCTCCCCACCCCCTTATTACAGATTGGCTGAGGAATGACCCGGTGATATAATTCTGGTGGGGTGGGGGTTTTCTGGGAAAGAGTTTTCCAGTCCTCTGAGAGGAGAGACTCAATAGGAAGAAGAGGCCGTCTGTCTTCTACCTGTATGGATTGGGCTAGGAAGTGACTTACACAGTGACTGCAGGTATCCTGCCAGTAGCCCCTGGGGACGTAGAGAGAGAGGACAGGCCCTGCCTTGCTGATGTAGATTCCCCTGAGCTTCTGCATCACCTCTTTTTAAAAAATTTATTAGTTTATTTGGAAGACAGAACTACACAGAGCAAGAGAGGCAGCGAGAGAGAGAGAGAGGGAGGGAGGGAAGGAGGGAGGGAGGGGTAGGTCTTCCATCTGTAGTTTCACTCCCTAATTGGCTGGAGCTGCACTGAACCAGAGCCAGGAGCCCTTCCCGGTCTCCCATGCAAGTACAGGGGCCCAAAGACTTGGGCCATCTTCCACTGCTTTACTAGGCTACAGCAGAGAGCTGGATTGGAACTGGAACAGCCGGGACTCGAACTGGCACCCATATGGGATGCTGGCACTGCAGGTGGTGGCTCTACCTGGTATGCCACAGCACCAGCCCCCACATTATCTCTTTATTTTTTTTTTAAAGTTTCTTCATTCTTGAAACCAGTCTAAGTCCACATTTTTCATTTCTTCTAACTGAAAGCATCTTTAATGGAAAGAACTCCCTAAAGTTATGACTTAAGTCACTTTATCTGGGTGTTTCTTAATGTGAATGTAGACTATCAGCACTTGAGTAATTTTTAGAAATTATTTATTGAGAGTGTTCCCACCTATTGGTTCACTTCCAAAATGCCTGCAACAGCCTCTGGCTGGGACTAAAGCTGGGAACCCAGAATTCAGTCCAGCTCTGACATTGTGGCTGGCAGGGACCCAGTCATGATGACCGTCACCATTGCCTCCCAATGTCTGTGTTAGTAGAGGCTGGACTCAGGAGCTGGGGCTTTGGATTGAACTCAGGCACTCTGATGTGGGATGCAGGTGTCTTAACTGCTAGCCCAAATACCCTCTAGACTCATTTTGGGAGTTAAAGCATACTTTCTGGGCCCCCTCTACAAACATGTTGAACCATAATCTTAGTAAGACACCTGCATTATTATACACACTAAGACATTAAAAATAACTGTAAACTCAGAGATCATTAAGAAAAATTATCCAAATAAAGTTGAAGATGAGCCCATTTCCTTTCAGTGTGAGTGTTGAGCAAATTCATGCAAGATTAATTATCTAGGAGAATGCACCTGTGTTTAGTTTGCAATTTGCTATTTTGTTAGAACCAGATACTTTAAGTTGTATGTTGACTTGTAAGTCTCTATCTGGGTGAAAAAATACCCCCAACTTGTTGTAGTTCAGCAACTCTATAGGATATCACCCAGTTTTGCATTCTTAGCTGATCCCTTTCAGCATTCTTTTGGCCAACTTATGATGTAAGTCTGCACTCTTCGACTTCTTTGAACCAACCTGGATCTTGTAATAGTTTCTTCATTAATTGATGAATTGCGCACTTTTGGACACATGTTCATATATTTCTGTACGAATCATTGTTTTCTTTTCTTTTTGCAGATTATATTTTAATGGAATCTTAACTCCTTGGTTTATTTTCTCCCTCCCAAGGAGGTATGCCGTAACTCCTTCCTCATTACCAGTCAACAGTTGCTTCTTTTGACACCTGCAAGAGAAAGGTAAGGAAAACACTCGGGTTTTCCTGCAGTCCAATTCTAAAACAAGCTTGATTGAGGCTATCATTTTTTCCTTTGGCTACTGTCCTTTGTGATTTTACACAGTGTCTCAAATGCAGTTAGGTGCTGAGCCAATTTCCTGTTTTACCAGCCAAAGACTAGTGGTTCTAGAAGGGCTGTGGTTAACTCAGTGGTAGGCCTGGGTTTGGTAGGTTACTAAGTATCATCATGTAAGTAAAGACTAACTAGGAGTATAAAAGCTGTGTTTACATTCAGGTCAAGTGTGACCAGAAGTTTTAATTAGCTATTAGTTAAAACCTAGTTTCCAACAGTTTGTATAATCATTTGGAGCAAGTTTCTTTGGAGGAGGGTGGCATAGTGGCAAGCATCCAGCCCTTCAGACCTGGGTTAGAATCTCAGCTCTGCTATGCGATCATAGTGCAACCTTGGGGAGGTTTTCTGAAGTCAGTTTTCTTTCATGTGGGAAGGGGATCAGAGCAGCAGTTTTCAAGTGAAGGAGCAGAAGTGGAATGGAGGAGCCCAGAACTCACCTTTGAGATCCTGCTCACGTCCTACCGCTTAGAGGGGGCCTGTGATATTGAGTAAGTTATCCAATTTCTTTGAGTATCATTTTCCTTGAATGAAAAGTAAAGAACAGTTCCTAACTTATAGGGTAGCAGTGAATACCTGAGGAGATGAGGACACGTTCTTTGACATTAGTTGTCTCTGTTCTACTTTCTCATATTTTATCTCCATCCCAATTTGTACACAATTTGTCACAAATGTTGCTGCATTTGTACCACTGACACTATCATTTACTTAGTATTTCCATTTAATTCGTTTTATTAAACAATGCCAAAAGACTATATAATGCAGTGAACAAATAAGATGAAGCTCCCTGGCTACATGGAGTTTATATCTCAAATGAATTTATTTGCACTCAGTATTACTGTCACCAATGGAAAAACAGTGTCACTTGAAAAGGGTGATGATTTGAAAAATAAAAATAATGAAACAGTGCCTCACAAATTCCAGCTAGATATAGTTGTCCTTTCTTTATAAAAGAGATCTTCCAGTATTCCAGAGGTGTTTGAGACAAACTTTACCACACGGAGGCTTTCTCCTTGATGTTATTGGGAAAATCGATAAAGAACCAGAAGAGGGGTCATTTTTCTGTGTGGGACCGGTGTTGTCGAATCCTGTCATCCACGTTGACTTGGGGCTGACTTCATTCATCAGCAGGCAAACAAGACGGGCTCTGTGCTTTGGGCCACCATTAGCATGCATGTGTAGCTGTGAGCACAGATGTGGGCACAGAGCTCGCGGAAGGTCACTGTTGACTGTAGCAACGTCCGTCATAAAAGACGGTGTTATCCTCTGCACCTGCAAAGGTAGGCAGGGTCTGAGCGTCCCTTGCCGAGTCATTAATTACTCATGGATCTCATGCGTGCTTCCTGAGGGTGCTTTTTAGCGAGACCATTCTAGAATGTGCCTTCAGAGCCCGGAGAGCTCCTGGGCGTCTTGTCTTTGTATCATTTGACTCCTAGCACTAAAAGCCACATCCTGTTATGTTTGGTTGCTAGGTGGAGAAATGTTATCATGGGCTTCAGCAATAATTTATCCACAGAGCTCAAGGAGTTGTCATGTCCTCCTGACAGTGAGCTGCGGCACTTCATCAGCTCGCCTGTAAATCAGGCATGTGTGGGTGCGGATGCCAGCACTGTTTGATCTCTTGCAGACACTGTAATAATCTGCTTTTGTCTGATTGATTCCTTCACATCACCACGCACATTGCAACAGAGAGTGGAGTGCCCTCTGTTTATCTCGCCTGGTCATCTGCAGGAGGCCAACAGGGCAGAAAATGCTCTCCGTGCCGAGATGTACGAGTTTTTTGGAATTAGGGCCTTTCCATCATATCCCCAGGCTGGTTTTGTTCAATAAATCAATGATAGCAGAATTGAATGCACCATAAATACCTCAAACCATATCTCTTACAAGAATGTAAGAGTAATTCATAGAAACAGGAAAGGTAACTTTGTGGGAAAGAATTACGAGCCCTACAAGCCACAGACGTTCGGGGCTTTTTACTGCCGTGTTCACATCTCACCCCTTGAACTTGGGGGTAGTGGGGGAAGGAGAATCCACAACTGGCTGGCATTTGCTTCCAGGAAGTGCACGGGTAAGACTGAGAACGGATCCTGTTCAGACTGATAACAGCCTTTTAATCTCAAAGTCAGTTTTCCGCCATTTCCATTTGCTCCCGTTCCATGTGGTCTGGCTTTATTTCCAGTGTCAAAGGACACCAGCCTGATCACAATGGAACATATTTGGACTCTCTCATTTGATGGTTTGAGGGTCACCCTTCTGTTACCCCCACCCCAGGCCTGCTCTGGTCGGGAGTAGGGATCACCATCCTTTCTGATACTTAACATGTCTCCCTATTGGATGAGCCTGGTCCCTATTTTTTGGGCTCTTAATTGCTGACAGGTACTTTGGGGCACATTTTGGCATCCTAAGCCCCAGGAGTTGGGTTGAAGTCTAAGAGCTGATGACTTCCTGGCGTGTGGCAGCAGCTTGCTGTGCCGTGACCCCAGAGCAGGCGCAGACATTCACGCCTGCCCCAGTTGAAAGCAGAGGTCAAGCTGCATTGTCGAAGTGATGGACTAAATCCCATCGGAGAGGAGGATTCTGTTGTAGCATCCCCCTCTCAGCACGTAGCAAGATGAAATTACATGAGGAAGCCTTTCTGCTCAGAAATATATGAATGTAGCTGTAAAAAAAATTCTTGAGTCAAATGTTTGGTGCATTCAAAGACACAATTTTCATAATGATGGTCAATAATATTAATAATTATCCCAGTCCTATTGTGTGTACATTGATGTTTCAGGCACCCAAAATATGTTAGTATAGGCAGTGTTATTTAGTGGTTACAGTAGGAGTGGGCAAACCACAGCCAATGGGCCAAATCCTATTACTTGTTTTTGTCAATAAAGTTTTATTGGAACTCATTTATTTACATATCATCTATGACTGCTTTTCCATGTAGTATCCCAGCTGACACTGCCTGCAAGGGTGAAAACCTTTACAACCTGGCAGGCTTTTACAGAAAACACGGGGTTAGAGGGTTAGCTCTGGGGCCAGATTGCTTGGTCGAGTCCTGGCTTTACCACTTAGCAGCTTGTGTGACTTTGGGCATGTTACACAACCTCTGTGCCTCTTGGTTTCCTTGTGTCTAAGATGGGGATGAGGGGAATACGGATGAGCACATTAACTACAACCCGACTGGATAGCAGCATTCCCTTTGAGCAGCTGTGCTCTGGGTCCACTTGGGGCAGGGCACCGGGCCTTCCCCTGGCGTTTAGCTGATGATGTTCTGCAGATGCTGTCCCTGTGCCTTTGCTGGCATAGATTTATGGGAGTGAGTGTGTGCAGCCTGGAACTCTGAGACCAGGGTGGAGTTACAAGCTCCTTAAGCCATGGTGCTTTTCCAAGGCCTCTCCTGTGTTCCCAGCGTTAGTTGAGAGATTTCCTCCAAGTTTTGCACAAAATCCAGTTAATCTGGCAGTTCAAATTAGAATGATGGTGGTCTCTGTGGTGTATGAGAATGTATGTTTTTTCTCTACAATTTGAAAAAGATTGAGAGGTAATTTAAACAAAGTCAAGGTTAAATCACCTATGTGAAACCCTTGAGTCCTGAAGATGGATTATGAAATCTGCATCTGTGCTCTACTATAGGGGTCAACAAATTTCTCTGTAAAGGGCCAGAGTAGAAATACTTTAGAGGCAGAAAGAGATCTTCCATGCTTTGTTCTCTCCCCAAATAGCTGCAGTTGTCAGGGCTGGGACAGGCAGAAGCCAGGAGCTAGAATCTCTATCTAGGTTTCTGGAGCACTTGGGCCATCTTCTGCTGCCTTCCCAGGTCTGTTAGCAGACGGCTGGATTTGAAGCAGAGCAGCCAGGACCTAAAGCAGCACTCCAATACGAGATGCGGATGTGGCCAGCAGGAGCCTAACTCTACACCACAGTGCTGGTCCTACCTACATGCAGTTGGTTCACTCCCCAAGTGGCCGCTATGGCCGGTGCACTGCGACGATCTGAATCCAAGAGCCAGGTGCTTCCTCCTGGTCTCCCATGTGGGTGCAGGGCCCAAGGACCTGGGCCATCCTCCACTGCCCTCCCGGGCCACAGCAGAGAGCTGGCCTGGAAGAGGAGCAACCAGGACAGAATCTGGTGCCCCGACCGGGACTAGAACCTGGGGTGCTGGCGCAGCAGGCGGAGGATTAGCCTAGTGAGCCGCGGCGCTGGCCAAATCCTCTTAAGGTCTCTTTTCCTGCTGCTCCCTTTCCCATCATTGTCTGTGCTGCTCTAGAGGTTGAAGGTGCACCCTGCTCTTGTAAGATGTGATATCGAGCCGGCTTTTGACTCTCACCCTGGAACTTCTTTGATTCTTGGACGAGTTTTGCAGCCCCTTGTCTTAACTATTTACTGCTACATCAGATCACCCATAATAAACAGTTTTGCACATGCTTATGATCTTACAGTTTCTTGAGATCAGGAATCTGGGCACCTCTTTCCTGCTCTGTCCTAAGGCTTCAAGGTTGCAGCCAGGCCTGGGATCTCATAAGACTCAATCAGGAAGAAGCACTTCCAGACTTGCTCCTGTGGTCTCTGGCAGGATTCACCTCCCTGAGGGTGGTGGCTTCTCTGCTGCCCTTGGTCAGAGGTCACCCTATTTCTTGTCAGGCCTGTCTCTGTAGTGTGGCAGCTTGCTTTTTCACAGTCAGCCGGTGAGACGGTCTATTTTAAGTGTTCAAAAATGTGAGTTGTGTTTCTCTTGTTACTCTTGATATTTTATATTTATTATTTTAAAAATTTCATTTATTTATCTAAAGGCAGATGACAGGGAGAGGGATAGGGAGAGAGGGAGAGAGAGAAAGCAAAAGAACAAGAGAAGGAGAGAGCGAGATATTTTCTGTCTGCTGGGTCACTTCCCAAATGCCTGTAATGGCTGAGGCTGAGACAGGCTCAAACCAGGAGCCAGGAACTCCTTTCAGACCTCTCTCTTGGGTGGCAGGAACCAAGTACTTGGGATATTATCTGCTTCCTCCCAGACTGGTTAATATCTGGATCAGAAGCAGAGGCAAAACTTGAACCCAGCACTCTGATAGGGAATGCCGGCATCTCAGGTGGCAACTTAACCTGCCATGCCACAATGCTGGCCCTGAATCTGGAGTTTGAATTCTAACTTAGCTATTTACAAACAATATGATCATGAACAATATTCTGAGTTTGTTTTTTTCTGAACACAGATTTGATCTATTGTAGCCACAATGTCACATGGTTGTCATAAGCATTAAATTAGAAATCACATGTAACATATTTGGCATGGTATCTGGCATATCTTATTAATTCTTTTTTTGTGTAATATTGACAATAACAACAACAATAATAAAAGCAAGAATTGCTTTAAAAGATTATATAGTGTCAGTCATTGTGTCAGCAAGTTAAGCCACCGCCTTTGCCACTGGCTTCCCCTATGAGTGCCAGTTTGAGACCCAGCTACTCCCCTTCCAGTCCAGCTCCCTGCTTTCTTGGGAATCTA